CGTCTTCATCGCTCGCGCATGTAAAAGAGTTTCTATCCGGCACCAGCAAGCTGCCCGTGGCGCCAGTACCTGATGTGTCATCACTTCCATCATCCGAGCCACCGCAGCAGCAGCAGCAGAAACGCAGTGGTCGTCAGATCCAGACCTATCCTGAGGCTCCGTGGCTTGCCGAGGATGAAAGCGAAACCACTGGGAGCAGTCAGACGCAATTGAAAAAGAAGAAAAAGAAGAAGAGGCGACAGACCGGAGCAAAACTACAGGTAACAACTGTGTGACATGCATTCAAACTACACATCTTGTATGTGTGTGTGTGAGTGCATGAGTGCATGCGTGCGTGCGTGTGCGTGCGTGCGTGCGTGCGTGTGTGTGTGTGTGTGTGTGTGTGTGTGTGTGTGTGTGTGTGTGTGTGTGTGTGCGTGTGTGTGTGTGTGTGTGTGTGTCGATGGCCTCCTGAACATTGCCAGTGCTTACGACTTGGAGGTAGTGGATTCGATCGAGCAGCGGCCGGTTATGACGGAGCTTGGTGTCGTGCCTGAGTGTGATGAGATTTGGCGTGCATTGCGAGGGATGAAGTGTGGCAAGGCATGCGGCGGATCCGAGATATCTGTGGAGATGCTGAAGTACGGTGGGCCTACCCTGATTGCGAGGTTGCATGAACTGATACGGGTGGTGTGGGAGACTGGCAGCGTTCCACAGGATTGGTCTGATGCTATCCTCGTCCCCATCCCCAAGAAGGGTGACCTGGGGTCTTGCGACAACTGGCGTGGGATATCGTTACTGGATGTGGCTGGAAAGCTAGTTGCTCGCATGATTGCCAATCGTCTGCAGGTTCTCGGAGAAAGGTGCTTGCCTGACTCGCAGTGTGGTTTCCGCAGGGGCCGTGGTTGTTCGGATATGGTGTTTGCTGTGCGGCAGATCCTGGAAAAGTTGCACGAACATGCCACGAAAGGTTTCGCTGTATTTATCGATCTGAAGAAAGCGTACGACTCGGTTCCGCGGAGTGCTATGTGGAGAGTGTTGGCTAGACTTGGCGTCCCAGGGAATCTGATCACCATCATCAGTTCCTTCCATAGCGACATGACTGCCAGTATTCGTGTGGGTGGAGACCTGCTTGCACCGATTCGGGTTGAGAATGGCTTGCGGCAGGGTTGTACTATGGCCCCGGTTTTGTTTAACCTATACATGTGTGCAGTCTTCGAGAGATGGCGTGGCGTGATTGCTGATGATGGTGAGCTGGGGATCCCACTCGTCCAGTTTCGGAGGGAGCGGCTTTTCAACACCAGATTGGCAGAGTATCGCAGAGTTCGGCTGACGGAGTGTCAGTTTGCGGATGATTCAGCCTTGCTCGCGGTTACGCATGCTGGTGCTGAGAGGGCTCTATCCTCGTTCAGGGATGTAGCTGGTGCGTTTGGCCTTAGTGTCAATATGTCCAAGACCAAATTCATGGCGGCTGGGGCTGGTATTGTGGATGCCGACCAGACCCCTTTGGATGGTGTTGTTGACCACGTTGAGGCCTTTCGCTATCTCGGTTGTCATGTTACGCCAGACGCCCGGAGCTCATTTGATGTGTCTCGGCGAGTTGCTGCTGCATCGGGTGCGTTCTGTACACTGCGGGAGTCGGTTTTCGCCAGTGATGACTTCAGCATCGCCATCAAGCGCATCGTGTATGGAGTGACTGTCCTGGCGGTCCTTCTTTATGGATCTGAGAGTTGGACCGTCAGGCAGCGTGATGTCCGTCGCCTGGAGTCCTTTCACCTGCAGTGCGTGCGTTCCATCCTGAAGATAAATCGTGGCCGGCAGATCGAGGAGCACATCTCCTCTCTCCAGGTTCGCAGGATGTGGGGCGATATGGAGGAGATCGCGGATAAAGTCAGAGTCCGCCGACTTCGATGGCTTGGCCACGTGTCCCGCATGCCAGATCGGATCCCTCGTCAGCTGCTGTACGGCGCATTACCCTCCAAACGTCCACCGCATGGACCCCGTAAGCGCTGGAAGGACTCCGCGAAGTGCGACTTGATGGCTGTTGGCGTTCCTCTGGAGCAGCTTGGTGACATCGTCCAAGATCGACAGGGATGGCGAGTCACCTGCCGTGATGCTGTCGACGCAATTGTCCAGGCCCGCATGGAGCCTGTGGCGAAGCCCCTCATCTGTGGCACTTGTGCGCGCAGTTTTCGTCGGCCGCAGGACATTGCGAGGCATAAGTGTAACGCTGTTCGCGCGGCCCGCGCGCGCTGAGTATGGCGTTCCCCGCCCGGTGGACAACACGTCTCCTGGTCTGCCCCGTATGGGGCCACATAGCCAGTCATGGCAGTGGAAGAAGGAAGGAAGGAAGGTGTGTGTGTGTGTGTGAAAACTTGAGAAACGTACTAGGCTGCTTCTCAAACGTAGAGCTTCCTGCAACAGAGAAAGGAGAAGACGATCCACTTGTGTGTCTGTACCGCATGACCGCATCAGTGTATGGTGGAGTTGCAAAGTCCTCTGCTTCCCATGCATTATGCATGATTATGACATTCACTGCATAGCCAAGTCATGTCTGATGTGTATGGTATGCACATTGTTGATTTGTAGAATACAATGTACTCATAGTACATGGCTGTATATAGCCGAGTACACTGCTGTCGATTGTCACCTGATGTAGTTGATTTCTGGCTCGCCGATTTTGGTCTGGCAGTAGGCAGCTGTACAGAGCAGAGAGATGTACCTGGTTCTGGTATTGTACATGATATCAGTGTGCAATCTGGAATACATGCTGTGGAATAAGTGCCATTGAGAACATGACATTGGTACATGTAGTGTGTACAGAGTACTGTACATCTCCTATGTCTTTACTGTTTGTAGCGTGGACCCAGCGACACCTCTCTGAACAAATTCTGGAGTCAGCGTTACCGTTTTTTCTCGCGATTTGACGATGGCATCGAGCTTGATGATGGTAAGAAGAAAAGCACGCTATTGATCTCAGTGACCGTCTTTCGACTCTTGACTTCTGCAATCGGACCAATGGCAGTAAAATCGTTTGCTATAATCCTGTAATTGTTTATTGATTTGCCATGTTATGTCAACTTTCTCTGCTTGTTCATTGGTTTGAGGGAAAGATGGGAACGGGAAAAGTCTGACGAAATAATTGACTGTCACAACCAGGACTCGAACCAGGGACCTTCACTCGAGGCCAGCGATGCTCTAACCACTGAGCTATCCCAGCAGCGACCGTTCAACATTTTCCTCAGACTTCTCTGGATGGTTTCCAATTTTCTACCCCAATCGCAACTGTCATACAGCATTGATAGGCGTGTAGCGATCCTAGCTCTGAGTGTTGTAGTGACTACACCTCTGTGGATATGTGTGCTTGGGCTGCCCGGGTTGCAGCCTGCCATGGGTGAATTCCTGAACGGGTACTGCCCGGGTTGCAGCCTGCCGTGGGTGAATTCCTGAACGGGTACTGCCCGGGTTGCAGCCTGCCATGGGTGAATTCCTGAACGGGTACTGCCCGGGTTGCAGCCTGCCATGGGTGAATTCCTGAACGGGTACTGCCCGGGTTGCAGCCTGCCATGGGTGAATTCCTGAACGGGTACTGCCCGGGTTGCAGCCTGCCATGGGTGAATTCCTGAACGGGTACTGCCCGGGTTGCAGCCTGCCATGGGTGAATTCCTGAACGGGTACTGCCCGGGTTGCAGCCTGCCATGGGTGAATTCCTGAACGGGTACTGCCCGGGTTGCAGCCTGCCATGGGTGAATTCCTGAACGGGTACTGGACATGCTACACGTGCAGGATTCATGCGTAATATCTGCCGACAGTTTGTCTGATTTGAGACGTATTTGAGCCACTGCAGAGAAGATTTGCAAGTTAGCAGCTCTCTGTGGCAATGGGGCATCGTTGCTGGTATTGAATGTGCAAGTAAGTTTGTGTGCTCACCTTATGCCTGTGCCTACAGAGAGCTGGTATTCGGTGACTCCGGAGAAGATTGCAGAGCACATTGCTGAGCGATGCCAGTGCGATCTCGTCGTGGATGCTTTCTGTGGTGCTGGCGGTAACACCATCCAGTTTGCTTTCACCTGCGAGAGGGGTAAGGAGGCCAACTCTACGATTGGCAAAACACATCATAGACCATGCATGCATTATCATATATTAATGTACAATTGAAAAAGGTTGGTTGGTTGGTTGGTTGGTTGGTTGGCCTTGTTCAATACACTGTATTAATTTAACCACGTATCTGTCATTTTTCCTCAATTTGAACACGCAAACACGGTCTTTCTGCTGCAGACATCACTTAGTGCTTGGGATTGAGGAAAAGTAATGTGTGAATGGCTGTAATGGAATTCGAATCCTTAGAAAATGTTTATCACGTATCTGTTTTCCACACAACAAGATGTGGTAATCAATCATCTCTCTCTCTCTCTCTCTCTCTCTCTCTCTCTCTCTCTCTCTCTCTTTCTCTCTCTCTCTCTCTCTCTCTCTCTCTCTCCTCTCTCTCTCTCTCTCTCTCTCTCTCTCTCTCTCTCTCTCTCTCTCTCTCTCTCTCTCCCTCCCTCTCTCTCTCTCTCTCTCTCTCTCTCTCTCTCTCTCTCTCTCTCTCTTTCTCTCTCTTTCTCTCTCTTTCTCTCTCTCTCTCTCTCTCTCTCTCTCTCTCTCTCTCTCTCTCCCTCTCTCTCTCTCTCTCTCTCTCTCTCTCTCTCTCTCTCTCTCTCTCTCCCTCTCCCTCTCCCTCTCCCTCTCTCTCTCTCTCTCTCTCTCTCTCTCTCTCTCTCTCTCTCTCTCTCTCTCTCTTCCTGTTCAGTTATTGCTATTGATATTGATCCAGTGAAGATTGAGTACGCACGGCACAATGCTGCTGTGTACGGTGTGGAAGATCGTATCGAGTTCATTGTGGGTGACGTCTTTGATATTCTGCCAAACCTGAAGGTTAGTGTAGCATAGCTTTATGTTGACATGTCAAGGCTATGTGTTGACATGTCAAGGCTATGTGTCCCTCTTGTACAGGGCCTTGCCAGTTATTCCGCATTTGTGTTTGTGCCAAGTCGTATTTTGGGAACGATCTCTTCCTTATGCTTGTATGACTTTGATCTTTTGCACGGCCTGAATTTTCGTCCAGCATAGGTTTACAGTTGCATTCAGTTGAGTCAGGGCACTGCAGCGTGAGCTACGTATACCCACTAACAATGTACAGTTGCTAAAGCTGCACATGGAGTGAATTAGGGACAGCAGATTTCCACCAAGTTCGTATTGCATGATGTGCCATGATGTGCTTTTGGTCACATATTGTTCTGGTGTATTCTGACTTGCTACCATTGCTCATGGATTCACCTGTAGTCATCTCCAGCTCCACTGCAAGCCGACCAGCTTTCTGCCTCTCAATCAATCAATCTCTCTATCATCTATCTATCTATCTGCTGAAGTATCAGTCTGTCTGTCTGTCTGTCTGTCTGTCTGTCTGTCTGTCTGTCTGTCTGTCTGTCTGTCTGTCTGTCTGTCTGTCTGTATATCTCTAATCTCTACCTGTCTCCTTTTTGTCTAAATGTGCTCGAACAAACATGTGCACGGTGTGTTGTGCTTTCTTGATCAGGCCGATGTCGTTTTCTTCAGTCCCCCGTGGGGTGGACCAGCCTATCTCAATGCTGATGAGTATGACCTGTTCAAGATGCTGCCAGTGGATGTGTATCCTCCTCTAGCCGGCGCTGTGATCACTGATTACCACATCTTGTTGTGTGGAAAACAGATACGTGATAAACGTTTTCTAAGGATTCGAATTCCATTGCAGCCGTTCACACATTACTTTTCCTCAATCCCAAGCACCAAAGTGACGTCTGCAGCAGAGAGACCGTATTTGCGTGTTCAAATTGAGGAAAAATGACAGATCCGTGGTTAAATGAATGCAGTGTAAGCTGTCTGTAGTACAATCCTGTGTGGGTTGCCAGCAGGGACTGTGTTTTAGTCATGCAGACTAACTGAGCAGGAGTGAACTGAATGTGCAACAAAAAAAAGAGTGCAACACCATGTCTGGCTAAGCTTTGATATGGCGGATTGGTGGATTCGCACCGTGTTTATGTCGGCTTGTAAATAGCTCCAACAGGATAAGCATGAACGTGCTGGTAGTACATGAGATATGTCCAAGGTGCTGGGGGTGTTAGTGGTGTGTGTGGGCATTCAGGAATCACCATTCTCCTTGACTATCTTGCTATTGTCTAGCACCCGCTTGTTTGCGATGTCGAGCCAGATCACGAAGAACATTGTATTCTACGCACCGCGTAATACCTGCATCAACCATGTAAGTGTGTTAACAGCTTTGCTGTGACTGGTGGTGTGCTTCTCCTCGCACTGTCCTACTCCCTAGTGTGCCATGGCTCGTGGTCCTGTGGATTATCTATAGGCATTGCCAGTGGTCTTTGACCACTTGCTGGTGAGCTGATCTACTCACCTCCCACCTCTGTAAGAGCTGCATCTCCGCCTTGATCCTTGAAGGGTGGTAGCGTTCCTACGGATGCGGAAAACTCGGTTTCCAGCGAGTCTCACGCGAATCGTGAATTTTTTTGGCCAGTGAGTTGGGCTGTGTGGCGTTCGTTTTTGTCGACTTGGTGCAGTAGAGAAGAGCAGGTTTTCAGGGAAAAGAAAGAAAGAAGAAAAGAGGATAGACGGGAGTACAGTTGTGGCATGTGAAATCCGACACTTGTCATTAGGGACCGCACCATACAGTGTGCAGCCCTGTGTACATTTGTACGGTGTTTTTGTTTTGTTTTTGTTTTTAAGCCACTTGTGCGGGCAAAATGGCCGAGCAGAGGCGAAGACATAGACCTTGGGTGAAAGCAGTGCAGGCTGCTTGGCGCTGAGCCAAGGCCAAGGTTGTGAGCTGCTTGATCTCCTGACTCCACTGCATGGCCTTGTGCCTCGCGTATTGCTGGCAGTGAGTATTAATGGCCGAAACAGCACCCAGGGGTCTATTGCCATTAGGGTGGGCTTGAATTCCAGACCTGTGAAGATGTTTGCGGCAAGTTCGCGATGGCCTGGCTTGACGAGAAGAATCGACTTGCTTGCATTAGGGTAGTGGGTAGTCGCCTAAGGATTTTTTTGATGGACTGTGTTGTAATACCGTGAAAGCCCCTGTATACGCCCACCCTCCATGTACACGCCCAGTCAGCGGAAGTCAAGCCTTTTGTTTCAAAATAGCGCCCATGCCCATGTATACGCCCAGGTATGCCGGCAACGCCAGTACATGTACAGCTACTGATTCCCAATACTTACTGCTATCCCTATTCCAAGTATACGCCGGGTTCCAAAATAACGCCCGTGCCCTTGTATACATACGCCCACGAAATTGAGGCTGCTATTCCATACGCCCGGGGGCCTATACACGGGCTTTTACGGTAGCACTGCTCCCAGTCCCTCCGCAATCTTTCACCAGTGGCGGAATTGTCTGCATGCGACCCATTGCACAGCACCTTCCATAGCTATCTTCTGGATTAGGAGAGCAGTGCCAAGTGCATACATGGGCATTGCTAGTGGGTCACCCTGTGTCTTAACCCTCACGCTCAGTGATTGATTCACCATCGACAAAATAGCCGTGAAGGAGGGCGGTAGGTGTTGATTGCGAGCGTGGCGGGTTCTGGGCACACATGCTCAACAATTTGTGGACAAATGAATCTGTTCAAACGGTTGAAAGCGTTAGACGCGTCTGCGAACAGGACACCGTCATCATCTTGTTGACTTTACAACACTCTGGCGAACAAATTTGGGTACTCGGCGAATGTATATGCAGAAGAGCAATGACCCAAGAACAGACCCTGGGGGGGGGGGGGGGGGGGGATCCAGGGCTTGGTGTTGCCCTTCTCACCGTTAGCAGTGACCCGCTGGCTGCGATTCGTGAGGTAGTCCGAGAACCACTTGAGTACAGTGCCGCCTTAGCCAACAGTGGCTAGTTCGTCCACTAGACCTGTGTGCCGTACGCGGTCGAACACCTTGCTCATATCCGCATAGACTACTCCAGACTGGTTACCATTGTCAAGCGCTCTATTCCACCTGTCTGTGCAAAGCTGCAGATGCAGAGCATCCTCACAGCTATGATGTGGGCGGTATCAAGAGTACATAACCCCAAGAGTGTGCACCTGCCTGCACAACCTCTATGCTGTGCTGCGACAGCAGAACTTCACATCACGTGACATGGTTCAAAAGGTTATGCTGGCAAACAGTGCAAAGTGATCACAAGAGAGTTGTACCCAAAGCTGGGCTGCGTACAACCCAGTATCTATCATGCACTAGAGTGCACGGGTTCATCACGTGATGTGAAGTTCTGCCGTCGCAGACCCCATAGCTGGAGTTGCACACTCTTGGGGTTATGTACTCTTGGCGGTATGCAAATTGTTCGGCTGGTATGGGTGAAATGTGAAGTTACTTGCTTGTGAACAACCTTCTCTAAGATCTTGGCAGCCACAGGCAGTAGCGAGATCGGCCTGTAGTTGGTGGGTGAGGTCTTACCGCCCACTTTGTACACAGGGTAGACATGGGCGTACATTGTATTTGTAGGCATCAGGAAAAAACGCCAGAGCGTAGGGACTGGTTGATGATAGCCGTTAGGGGATACAAGACTGTACCTCGGCAGGGTTTCAGGATGCAGGAATACCATTGGAGCCAGTGGCTTTGTTGGATGCCAGAGATTGAAGCAACTTCAGATGGTATTTGATGCTGACTGTATCAAACTCCTAAAGAATAGTGCCATTAGGGTCTGCAACGGGTAGAGGCAGCTCAAGTGGTCTAGCGGATTCATGGACGATCTGGGCAAAGGTTGTCGTCAGATCAGAGGGTGTGGCTGATGGTGTAGCCCCTCACTGCACTGTTCTTCCAGACAAGCTATTGATAATGGCCCAATGACCTCGTGGGTCATGCCAACGAGATAGTGCTGTGACTTCAGCTGCCTGTTGAGGAGAGTGCCTTCCCGCTGGCGGCATTGGACGATATCCCTGCAGAAGCTGTTTATCGCACTTGATTCACAATCGTTTTGGTTGCTGCAACATCTAACTGTGAACCTCTAGCTTCACGGCATGCACTGAACTGCGATCCCTAGGTTGTTTGACCCGAGCATACAGCACATGCTGAGCGAAGGTCGAACGATTTTCTCCGAGTTGTAGAGGCTCCATTCCAGCCACTTCACCGATACTAAATCATTGAAACGTTTTCTAGTCCAGGGTTTCTTAATTCTTAGCTTAGAGAGCGGGTGTGAGCAGGTGCATATTTACTGCCATTTCACCAGGTTTATGTACCCCCATGATTCCAGGATCTCTTCCCTGCATTCTGACTATGCTAAGGCAGCCTGAAGTTCATCTCAAACTGGATTGCATTCATCTCAGAATAGATTACAGTCTTCAAATCCTAACTGGGCATGTGTTTACGCTTTGCTTGGCAGAGGAGAACAGCCTCTCACCTTCTTCTGTGCTGGGGGTTTCCAATTTTGGCAAGCCATGCACCATGTGTAGACTCATTGTATAGGTAGTCTGTCCAACCTTACCACCAATCCTAAGCAGTACACCCACAGCATAATGTACTGAAGTATGCACAGGCAATTGTGTCCCATGTAAATGTATACAAATGTTTTGGTCCGAAGCAGGACAGTTGGACAGCCTGTATATGACTTTCTCCTTTTACCGTTGTTCATGTGTTTTTGCGTTTTTTCAGTTCAAGCAGCTTGCCAGTATTGTGCAAAGCCGAGTGGATGTAGAACAGAACTTCCTCAACGGCAAGCTGAAAGTGCTGACTGCGTACTTTGGAGAGCTCGTGGACTTTGTGCCGAGCGCGGAGGACAACTCCGAGGAGGTAGTGCCTGCGTCGTGATATTACTGAGTCGGAAAGGAAAGGATTACATGCCACACATACCTACCTGCCACTATGCGTGTCTAGACCAGAAGAGAATTCCGTGTTCGTCGAATGTGAGTGGGTTCTGCAGGAAAAGAAACAGGACGTCCGCAGGGTTTGTCCTGTACACGGCACGTGCAAGATAATGTGCCTTCCTGTCTAGGATTTTGAATGTTTTGTCAATACAATAACAAGCAGATCACACATTATTCTTTCTTAGCTTGCAACATCTCAAGGCGGGGGGGGGGGGGGGGGGGGGCTGACAGAATACGTTCTACCCTCCCCCTGTATATTATCCTGTCTTGTTACTACACAAACACTTTCTTATTGGTGGCTTCAGCGGAAATCATGCATTCCCTAGGACGATTTTTTTTTACAACACTTTTGCTGGCAAAATTAGTCTTGCTTCCAATGTCTCTTGTTTGCTTTATCTAAGTCTTCTAAAATTTCTAACTCCTGTCCATTCAGCTTACGTAAGTCTTCTAAAATTTCTAACTCCTGTCTGTCTATTCAGCTTACGTACAACTTTAAAGTTCTGTCCATTAGTCATTTCCTGTGGAAACTTCACCAAAGGCGTGCCTTTTACTGCAATGACCAAGAGTCAACAAGGCCCGAACAACAACAAAAGATAAGCTTTTTGGGGGTCGGCAACCCCCCAAAAAACATCCTCAGTCGGCTGGAAAAACCGCTTGGGCCAAGGTTTGGTTCTTACTATCAATGATCCTGAGGCTTCTGAAGTTAAATACGATGGTGCTATTGACGGACAAAAGCAGATTATTGATATAATTGTACTCGATGTGTATTACTTGTTTCAATCACTTTGTATTTTACTGTGCACATGGTATGGCAATGTCACAGTTGACTAACAGTACTTGTACAGACCGTGTGCTCCTGACAGTGTGGGCAGAGATTGTATGCAGTGGCAAATCTGTGCTTGTGATCAGGGAGTAGTTTTGTACAATAATAGTTTTGTACTGCACTCTGCTTGAGATGCTCCTCTATGCAAACCGCTTCAATAGATGTTATTTCAAAGCATCTTTTTGTCCTACATCATAGTACATGACACGCACCACCCAAACGAAGCGCTGCACAGCAACGATTCATTGTGAAGCTTATGGACCCACCATCCACATACTATTGACTCCAACCTGCAATGCGCCCAGCTCCACTGGGGATGGGACCATGGATAACAAAGTAGAGCCACTGCACAACAAAAAACTACTGTAAAACGGGTATTAATAATAAACTATTGCGACGTAAAAATGTTTGCGAATTTTGCGAGAGGCCCTGAATCGCAAACTTTGAACAACGCAAACTCGCACCATGTCAAGTTCAGTGCAAGGACTGACTCGACTGTTTAGAACGACTCGCAAACATTAAACAGCGCAAACCAGTCTCAATTTGTAAAACACATTAAATTGTCGCAAACGTTACCCGTTTTACAGTAGTCGATTACATAGTACAATCCTGTAGAACGTAGCCATGTGAAAGGTATAGTTTCACTGCACTGGTAACAGGTAAGCGTGTTCTCATAATAATAATTATATACCGGTAGTCATGAAACTAATACATATATGTGTGCCACCAAATGCGGTCTTTGGGCTGATGATATATCAAGAGCTATGGACTTTGGTCTCAGTGATATATATAATTGATAGAATCTGAAGATAATTATACACCTCTTTTCAAGTTACAAACTTGTGAAACTTGTAATGGAAGTAAAAGGGTGCCAGTGACAACTTGGTACATGTATCCAGTATCATTCTGTCTTCACTGATGAGATCTTGATGATGCAAACCAAGTGTCGGATGGACCAGCACTAGTATCTTGATTAGCCGGAGCAAGCTGTGTTTGCCTGTGCGGTGAACCGTATAGTGGTGAGGAGTCCAAAGCCGCACATGCGCTGCACCCACGCACTGATGAACTGCTGATCGCTGGCCTTTCTTCACCAAGACTGGCAGTTCGGCCAGGGTAGCTGCTTGCCTTCGCGACACTGCTCTGGAAGTCATGGAATCTGTCTCCTCCTCCATAACTAACGTTCCAGCAGATCATTGCCTGCTTTGAAGAACTCTGTACAATGTACTATGGCAGCATAGACCAATGGCAGTGTGACAGTACCGTTTCTTCAAGTACTTCTTCTTGTAAAGTTTGACCAAACCATTTGGAGACTGCGCTGATCACCTTAGCAACCAGACCATTCTTGTGTACATGTACGCGACCAACGCGTAACACAACAAAGACGTTCCACTTTGTACAGGGCTGGGCTCTCCGATGAAAGCGGTGGGAGAGCTAGGACTCTATGAGCAGCTCAGCTCTCAGGTGTGTCTGTTGTGACACAGCAGGGCGAGGATGTGGGATGGTGTCATTGTGCTGGCACTGTAGCAGGGCATCGGAACGTTCCTGGCAAGTTGTCCGTGTCATTGATCATGTGAGCGGAGGCTGTTCTGTACGTGTAGACGGTGTGACCTACCCAGTTCCACTGCTTGTAGCTAGGCGTTGTATTTGACGACTGGAACATGTTGTAGATGAGGTGCTCCCCCTGGATCCTGGCAAGCCATGTTATTCTCGCTGCGACACTCGTTGCCGTTGTGCAGTGTGATTCGACTAGGTCTTCTCGACACTCCTGTGCGCACGATGTGCCGCATACTGCAGGTAAACACTAGCTCACAAACGCTGACCGTCACAGTGCACGTTGCATCCCCGACAATAGCTCGCGGTCTCTCGCTGTGCACCGGTATCACGACTCACGAGCAATGGCATTCGATGACCTTCAGGTCGGCAAAATGCTTCATTAGCGTGCCACCATTAGAATGCGACTGGTGAGTAATGAGTGCCGTCTTGCTGAACTTGACCGGTAAACAGTGTGGCATTGGTGAGCCGTGGATTACGGCATGGCGCCACGTCACTTCATGATACAGGCTTGGTGCTAAGTCTGGCTGGAGAATGATGTTGCGGCAGCTGCCGGAGCAGTAGCCGATCTCTATCATCGGCGGTGCCACGATTCGAAATGGGAAGAGGTCATTGAATGTGCTGGCTGTGACGTTCGCACTCTTTGGTCGGCAATCACCCGGGTTTGATCGTCGCTTGCGATCTGAATGTACATTTTCTCCAGACGGTTGCTGAGATGCCCCGTTCAACGTCAAGCCGGCACGAGTGACATTGCCCAGGATATATTGCTGCAGGTCAAGCCAAGGCACCAACGTCAAGTGTATAAGACCGTGGTCCGTGTACAGTCTCGGCTGGTTGAAGCCGTGCAGGGCGACGCCAGTGTTGACATTGCTCCAGGTGGATGTGGACGGCTGCCTGTGGCGCCGGGCATGCAGCACTACCCTCAGGCGAAACTCTGCAGGCTGAACTGGCATGCCGGCTATCTGGTCGGTGATGCGCAGAGCGTTGCAATTGCTGGAATTGAAGTCTCCCAAACGGACGCTGCCGTGGAAGACTTCGCCCATCAGTCCAGTCCAGTCGTTGCCGTTAGCGCAGTCACGATTGCTACTGGCCGGGCTCTGTAAGAACGACTTGAAGCTCTCCACGAGTCCGCACAGGTGCAACACTGCTTCGCAGGTCTCCTTCGTGTCGTACTTGAGCACCTCGTTCGTGTACAGCATGACCAGTCGCACTCTCACGCCGCACTGCGATCCCCTAGCCCAGCGTGTGATTCGGACCTTCTCATCTGTAGCAAATCAACATGACACGGGGGAAAAGCAGATGCAAACAACCATCATTGCACAAGATCACACTGCATGTTGTTCCAGCTTCTCAATAGGAGAGTTCCAACCAGTTGAATTGTTCATGTTTGCCCTAGCTGTTTAGCCTCGACACTGACATTCCACTTGTCTCTGGGGGTGCATGTCAGGCATGTAGCCAAGGAGTTCGGAGGGTGCGTACGAACCCCCCCCCCCCCCGACTTTTCCGCCGGCAGCCTTGAACATTTGGAAAAAATGGGGGAGGGGGGGGGGGGGGACAGCCAAGGTTGAAATGCCCGCACATACCAGGCATACCAGTATGATTATACACACCATGAGTGCAGGTCTACATGTACAGTGCTGCTCAATGAAATCCAGTCGATGCACTCGTGTACGCGCCGGGCGTTGCGCAGCCCTAGACCTGCGAACACTGGGCTTCAAAATGGTGCAAGGCGCAAACTTGAGTGCCGCGATGCGCGACTTGATTTCATTGAGCAGCACTGTAGATAGCAGTCGCCAGGCCAGGTTACTTGTTGTACCGTAGAACTAGGATTAAATTCCAACTTCTAAACTCTAGCTGCCGGTCTGATGATCGCAAAAAGTAATAATGAAATCGTGGAAAAATGTGCAAACGACTTACCGGCCGTCGGTACCATGGCGGAGAAGCTCGGTTGATTTCCAGCCCGGCCCGCAGCACAACGTTCCTGCCAGGAGGGTTTGTCGTGGCCATGAGATACCACAGTGGGGTCAGAACCCAACGATTCCAGGTAGCGTCCGGCCGTCGCTTGCTTGTCCGACTCAATCGTCTCCGCGAGCCGTTCAGCGGCAGATCTACGGACTCTGCTCACGCTTCCTGTCCTCGCGGCGGCATCGCGTCTTGAACGCGCAGCGTCGAGCCTGGTTTGACACATAGCCAGAGGACATATCACCACACAGAGAAGAACCGCAATCTTTGCGAGGAAGTGGCTTGGTCGCGTCATGATGGCTGGGATTCTTGCGTATCGCGCAACGGATTTGCAGCACAGGGGTATACTGGATGTTGTTCGACTGTCAGGGAAAATTGAAACTGTGAAGGATCAGCCGAAGACATGGGCAGTATTTATACCGGCTACAATCATGATCATCTCACTGTACTGGCTGAAGCTGTAGAAGTTTGTTGTGCATGTCACTTGCCATTGTTGCAATGTTCACCCACGTGTGCGCGTGCGAGGCTCTGCCACTACCGGGCGCGGCTGGACTGGAGGTTACGAAAATGAAGCCCGGGACGCGGATCAGTTTACGGACAGATGCAGCTGTCTTGCACTCAGCGCAGCCGCGTGCAGAACGAGCAGAACGCTGATTAGAAACTTTGGGTCCAACCCTTCTATTTCTAGCAAGCTCCGTATCTATAATTCTAGCTATCGCCTGTACATGCGCTACATTTACTGCACTGGTGTGCTGGAGTAGCTCAAGGAAAGGCGGTCCGCACGCCTATCGTATCGGATGTGAAGTGCCTGACGTAGATCTACGGGAGTTCTAAGCTTGGTCAAGTAGTTGGTGGTGGATCTGCAATGACGTGGTGGCGGTGCCATTATATGGCAGATCGAAAGTGCCAGTCCACGCTACCTGGGCACGAGTAAGGACTGGCACTTGCAGGTAATGGCCATTGTGACATTAGCAACTCACTTTTTAAAACTGTATCCGAACCGGCTGCTGTACATTCGCACCCGATATCACAAGTGACTGCAAGATTATCCAGGGAGTAGAATACTTCTCTCTGGTCATGGTTGTTTTAAAACACGACACTCTGAGCAATGGCAACGAAGGACTTGGTTGCACCATTGCTGTGTTTGTATGAGCTGTATTTCTGACTCGGTACGTCCATGGAGCATAGAGCACTATGCCGCCTGAGGATCTTAGCCACCTGTAGAACAATTTCAAGTTCACGCTCCTGTATGGCTATCTCACCATGTCTCATGCACCTCCAAGACGAAGTCAACACAGTACGTAGATCTACTGGTATAAATATCAAATATTGGCGTTACAACTGGCTATGTGATGCGATTGTGTTTCGAAAGCTAGAACCGCAACCAGCTAAGGAAACGTCGCTCGTGCCAGACCAACACTATGTAGGTCTACATGTACCTAGTCTTGGTTACTGGACAAAGTGGAGACCGCTTCATCTGCTTGTTTTTTTTACATGGCATGAGGTACAGCTGGACTTGAAGTACCAAGACTGGCAGAAATACATAACTCGTGTACGTGTAGCCTGTACTGAGTCTGTAGGGTGTTTGTTCGCTCCTTGAAATACTGAATACATGTTACTATTGTAGTCATGCTTCTGTCTGCCACAAATCCACCAAGCTTAATGCTCTGGAAAGATGCTCTCCTTCCCAAACATGCACGTGATTATGGACCTTTCGCTGACCAATTGCGTTGCAATTGAATTATTCCGTTGTACTGCAGAAGATAACGCATCGCGTAGGCGACTCCTGCCCAGCGTCTCTTTGGGCCATGTCTGTTCCGAATGTCTGCTCCCCACGTTCTTCTGCTGTTGCACGCCAAGGCATATGCTCCGCAGGTCTCTCCTGCCGGGCACCAAATGAAGTTATGGCCACACTGGACAGGCAATCGCTCGTCTACCATCCCGATCTCTCCGGACAGACGCTGTTTCGGCACGCAGGCGCTGTACTATGTGGGCATGCAGGGTTGCTTGTTGCCCGTACTGCGGGCATGCACTAGTCTACACTACAGGCTGTGCCGGCTTGCAGTCCGGCAGTCTGCGACACTAGGGCGTAGATCGACTGGCGCCTGAATGCAGTTGAGAGCGAGGAGGCGACAGATAGTTTCAAGTTGTAACACAGAGGCTGGCTTCCTAGCGCATGCGGCTGCGATTACACCCAACTGTTGCTGGCCGCGCAAATGTCACGTTTCTGAGCCTGCTGCGGTGGACAATGTCACATTTCCCTCACACTATAGTGTAACTGTCACTCTTATGAATAACAAAAGCGAAAAGAACCCAACGTAAGAAAGGAACCCAAAAAACCACTCGCAAGCACGCAAACCAGCAAATGAGCGTGCAGCACTTCGAAGACAAGAGCCTGTGAAAGGTGGTAACTCCCTGTTACTAACTTGGGCAAACGTACACAAATATTAGGCTATTACCAAGACTACACAAGTAATTAGTTGTTCGAAAACAGCTAGCCCTCCGGAGATTGAGTACTAGACAATGTCATGTACCAACATATTGATGTACATGACTGTACTCTTGCAACTGCCCGCGGGATGGGCGGAACGTTATTGTCATCTCTTTGCCGGGAATTTAAAACGGAAGTACGTGCATCTGCCGGGATGGAATACGTGTGCCTTATGGCGATGTCCCGAGACTATTGCCTAGAAAAATTGCTCGGAATGATGATGTCATTCATTGACCTACAGTATTTCGTCATGATCGTTGCAGTGTAGTTTATTGTGCTAACTGGAAATGTTTCATGTACTAGTAGTACTGTACTGTAGATCAGAAACCTTCAACCAGGTGACCTGCGTCAATCCCAGGAGTGGGGATTCCAACGCTATGCCAGGGTTTAGCAAGAGTGCGCCATGGCTGTACTCTTGATTTTAGTGCTTGAGACAAGGAGTGTTGTGGAGTGTTGTGACGGTGAACTGAACGAGCCATCATTACATTTGCATTTTGATAAGTTTCATTTGCTCATCAAAGGGCTTTTCGTTTTGTCTTGAAAAGCGAACTGCATGAGCCATGGTTGTGGAAGACTCACCGCATGACACGCGTGCAACTGTCTCTCACGAACCTGTCTATGGCGGGATGCGTGGCCTTGGCACTTGGTACCAGACCAACATCGCTATTTTAGTCGTACGAGCAGCGTGAGGGCCACCACAACCTAAACGATCAATGGCATTGCCTGGGCGAGTTTCCAACTTTCCACGCAGGAACTCTGTCTGATGTCGTCTTCGAGACAGCATTGACAAGATACACCTACGCTTATGGCGCGGACCAGAGAGTACTGGAAGGGTGTTGCTCTCCCTCTTTCCTTTGTAGTTCCCTGAGGGTAATTCGAGAAACGAGCGACCAACGGCTTGGTCTAGAACGCCTAAAGCACGAGCAGACACACCGTGCGGCAGCCTTCTTGGATGTCTATCCTTCGGTTTTAGACACAGGTATTCCGCGCTCTGCACCCAGCTACAATGTGTCGGCAGCGACGGAGATCTGTTTATTATCCCTGGGAGACGTGCGAAATGAGACGGTATATCGACTATTATTTGGTAAGAAATGTGCTACTGCCTGTGTCGAACTGGTCGGACAGAATGTCTGGTGATAGGTGCCATGCGGCTCCGTGTACATTTCTCCGAATTCGATCAGTCAATGACACTGTCCTGTTGGGTGTTGAGCGATCGTGATTGAGCGTGAGAGGAATGTGCCGAAGGAGTCGCTAGTAGCGAGGAGAGAACCTCTAGCTAGCGGTCTAAGAACTGAGGTGAACTAATCCAGGGATCGAGCTGTCCGGTGCCATCTCGATAGTAGGTTACTAGCTCCAGCTGTGTTTGGAGCTTGGGAACTGCTTGTGCAGAAATCTTACCTGTCAGATACTGCCGTTCCCCGCGTGACCTCGAGTGTTGTGATCCCATCATCACAAGGATGTTTTAAAGCATCCCATCCCCCTGCAATGTGTTGGTTTCCTTACTTGCTAGACTGATTTTATATGATTCTGGACTGATTTGAATCATATTAATTATTATCTTCCTTATTGGCCATGGGCCATCGTGGAAATGAAGAATAATAATAATAAGCATCCTCGTTTACCTGTGGGTCTTCTTGAGCAGTGTTTCAGCTAATTCTTTCCCCCTGACTCCTTTTCACTTCCCTTTCATCCCATCCACCCTTCCAGGAAGCTCCCTTGATAAGTATCCCTAATTCCATTTACTTTAGGAGAATCTTGAATAGTGTGCAGGCAACCTGCCTACACTCAAGAGAGCACTGCATTTCACACAAATCCATTAGAGGTATCGTTTTTAGGAGAATCCTTCAAATAAAGTCTGAATGAATGATGAAACAGCAGCCACTCTAATAGGCAAGACGGGAGGAGGTACACGTCCCTTTGGAGTCCTGAGTTTGACTGCCAGACGGCCTAGACAAGTACATGCTAAAGTGATGCTTTTTTTTAGGTATGTACGGACGGTGATACTGTTAGGAACGGACTGAATGTGTACATTGTACTCTACTGGCTCGGCAGCACACCAGAAGCAGTAATCGATGCCTGCATGTCCGTAAACATAACAATCATATTGGTTACATGGATTTCCGATTAGGTCAGCTAACAAGTAACAGCGGAGTGATTATTCTGTCCTCTTAGATGGCGGATACCAAAACCCGATCATGACTCTGAGAACCGATGCAGGATGGAGGTATACTTTCGGGCAGCGGGGGCCTGCCTATGGTGGAGCAGGTGTTAGGCTTAGGAAGTTTGGTTGTTTGGACCCATCGTGCTATAAACGATCTAATGGCGTATTTATGCGTCGGTCCTGCTACTTGCAGGCAATAATCGTCTGCTTCATCACACACGGCTGGGCAAGCTTTTGTAAAAGAACTGACCTGTGCAATTACTTGCTGCCACAACGGCCTAACCTCAAGCTGCCATGTGCCACAGTGCAGTCTCACTACTTCCTTACTCTACGTACGCGTAATCTGATTCTTGTTGTAAAGCAACAGGGGTCCGGGAGGTGCTGCGAGAACATGTACTAGTAGTAGTACGTACATCGGCGCCCGTTGACGCCATGCAACCAGACAGTAATCTTTACTTTTGCCTAATGTACAGACAATGAGTACCGGTATTGGCAAGAGTACATACCGGTTACATAATTACACGCTTGCTGATACTAGTACACTGTAATGACTGTTCTGGGCAACTATACGCCTTAGTCACGTAGTTAGTGCAATTACCGGTTAATACCGGATCAAGTGCTACTGCGGTTTTACTCCGGAGGTTTAGCATCAAGAATTTCGCATTGAAGCTCGGGAATACTATCTCACATTCTGAAAATGAAATGATAACATTCGCCCTTTTCGTTCGGAAAAGCAGTCGGAATGCATTAATGCTAATCGCTGATTTGTGTCAGGCAGTCATAAAATTACTGCTGCGTTGTACTATGTGCACATGCACGACCAGCCGACGTCAGATTCGGTTCGCTAATCTTTATAACATTCCCACGCTACA